CTGCTGATTACTTACAACTATGCAAAAAAAATCCAAAACATAATTATCAAATCTTACCTTCAAATGGTTTCAGAATATATCAAAGAAAGTTAAACTAGATTTTAGTCCCACCAAGACCAGTAATATTTTAAACTTTTTTTCAAAATACAATGTCAGGTTTAAATAAGAGTTGCAGTCAGGAAACATTGTGGAATGGGGCAGGATCCTTGGACCAAGATTCAATAGAATGTAACTTACTAAGGGTAAGGAGGATTTCTTGTTTTCCACTATATCCCCAGTGTCCAATAAATATGCTCAATAAATCTTTGTTGAATGAACAAACCAGTAACAACTGCTGACTACTCCCTGAGCTGCCTCTAACTGCCTTTTTCTAACTCTGCCTCTTACTAACCAGCTGTAGGTAAATTACTTAACCTGAGGGTTATTAGTTCCTGAAATCCAAAATGGAGACACTGCATCTCCTTTGCTGGCTTATGAGTATCAAAGGGATGTTCCATGAAAAGTAACTTAATACTTTACAACGGGCGCAGAGATAAGTGCCGTTATCCTCCCTATGGCTCCAGCTAAACCACTGATAAAGGGGAAAATACTGTCCTTCCTTGAAACAGAATTAGCCTCTCCTTTGCCCTATTATTCTGTTTGGATGTGGTGGCATGGCTGTTAGCCAAAATGGATGCTGTTCCTGTTGTTATAACATTTTATTTAATCTCCACTGGGAAACTGTGCTCCTCTAGAGAAAATAATGGTAATACAAGGAAGGTCGTTTCATGGTGTACCATAAGGAACATGATGCTGGGGTCAAGGGGCTTAGGGTCTCATCAGTTCTGCCCTTAAGTATTTGAGAAAGTGTACTTGCTTTCATTTCTTCATTTATACAATGATAGGGAAGGAAAGGCAGATGACAGAGCACCTAAGATCTGTCTCAGCTGACAGTTTGATGATTTCCCAGACACCAGATATTCAAATACCCCAGAACAAATCCAGTTCTATTATCCATTAGCATATAATGAGAGATTTTTTTAAGGATGATAAAAACAGTTCCACAGGCTAAGTCATAATGGCTGGAGAAACAATGATGCTACAAGAAGGATGGATGTTCCCCTCTAAAGAACTGCCTCAGGCACTGTCTGCCTGCCACTTTCAATAAGTCACTTAATATTATTGGGACTCAGTTTTTTGAACTGTAAAAGAGGAACAATAATACTGCATAGGGCCACTAGGAGAAAATACCCAATAAAATGATCAGAAAGTATTGCTGTTTTGCTCTATTTACAATAGCCAGGACATGGAAGCAACCTAAGTGTCCATTGACAGATGAATGGATAAAGAAGATGTGGCACATATATACAATGGAATATTACTCAGCCATAAAAAGAAACGAAATTGAGTTATTTGTAGTGAGGTGGGTGGACCTAGAGTCTGTCATACAGAGTGAAGTAAGTCAGAAAGAGAAAAACAAATACCGTATGCTAACACATATATATGGAATCTAAAAAAAAAAAAAAAAAAGGTTCTGAAGATCCTAGGGGCAGGACAGGAATAAAGACGAAGACATAGAGAATGGATTTGAGGACATGAGAAGGGGGAAGGGTAAGCTGGGACGAAGTGAAAGAGTGGCATGGACTTATATATACTACCAAATGTAAAACTGATAGCTAGTGGGAAGCAGCCGCATAGCACAGGGAGATCAGCTCGGTGCTTTGTGACCACCTAGAAGGGTGGGATAGGGAGGGTGGGAGGGAGATGCAAGAGGGAGGAGATATGGGGATATATGTATACATATAGCTGATTCACTGTGTTATAAAGCAGAAACTAACACACCACTGTAAGGCAATTATACTCCAATAAAGATAATAAATAAATAAAGTATTGCTATTTTAAGGTAAAATGCTATTTAAATACTTTAATGCCCCCCAAAAGGGGCTGGTGGATTTTAGGAGACAACCACTATTTTTAAATAGATGTTTTACCATCACAGTAAAATAACATAATGCTTATAGATACTGTGATATTTCCAAGAGTCCAAATTGTTTTTTCTCTTTGGGTTCAGGAAATCCAATGAAAGGGGTCACTAAAAACTTAAATCCCACATTTCAAGATCACAATCTTTCTGAAACAATAGATCATTTTAAATGTTCATCCACCTCTCCTCCCAAGATATTTTGGTTTTGTTGTTGATGTTTGTTGGTTGGTTAATCAGAGTCAAGCTGTTGGAACTGGTGCTGAAATTAAAAGGCCAGTGCTAACAATGCTGGCAGGCACTTATTCTATTGACAGTCCATGCCTGCTTACAGTGGGGGGAAGGGGGGTGTCCAAGAAGATCAACTAAGCTAGAAGGTATTCTGCCTTCTCAGCTCCAGGATTTTTTGTAATTGTGTCAGCTCCAGAATTCATGGTTTTTATTATTTTATTGTGGTATTAGCTCCAGGATTCTTAAATTCCTCCAGCAAGCCTAAGGAACCTTGTGATTGCTACGTTTAAGATTCTCTTGCCTTTCTCTCCACTCAAAAACAGAATAAGGTAAATGTTACATGCAGTTTCACCTCTAACTTAAAGAACACTGCCTCTTCACTAAAACATGGAATTGTCATTGATATTTCTGAGAAAGTTTATGTCACTGGCAATGGGATCCCCAAATAGCAAGACTCTTCATCTCCCTCAACAGGCCAAAAACAAAGCAATCACAGCAAATTAACTCTTAGATGGTGATTTTACTTAAGCCACGAACAGCTCCAGCTTTTTCATGGCAGAAGGGTTCATTGTGGCTGTTCATGTAGTAATTATCATCCCCTTCCCTCCCCAGGTAATGGCTGTGACCTTGTTCTAAAAGCCACCTTAGTTTGAGTAAGGAAGGCCTTGAAAGGAAAGGTGATTGACCCAAAATTCTTCAAGTCACACGATAAATGATCATTTTTTTAAGTACTTGAATAATACATGACGATTTGCTATCCTAGTTGCTAAGTTTTTTATTATAAGATAAACTTAAATCACTTTTTAAATTAAAGAGTATTTCCTAGTAGCATAAGTCACTTTCATGCCCTTCCCCTGAATCCCTAACTAAATCCCAATAGAAGCACATAGTTTTAACACAAGCTCCTTAAGGCTCCGTAATGGTGATATTTACACATTTTTAAAGCCCATTTCCTGAGTTGGCTCTTCACCTCCTCCTAATAGAATGTCATCTGTCTCTGGAACGAGAGTGGTCCAGGAGCCTGTAAAGAGCATCTCTAGGCTTGTCCTCTTTCATTTTAGCCCTTTGATGAACGGGTGTGCATTGCACCTTCCAACTGCTGGGTTCCTGTTTGCTCTGTAAGCGCTTTCGCCAGGAAGCTTTGCTGTGGGTACTAAAGGCTTTTGAAGTGTTTCCATTCCATCTCTGCTCCTAGGACTCTCGCCTCCCACCGCTTCAGGCCGTCTTAATGCCGCTGGGAAAGAGAGGATCTGGGAGCACTATCTTATTGAATAATAGATACATTTACAGGTTTGGTGAGTTTGGGAATGTATAGGGGAGCAAGAATTATAGACATAAAACACTGCTGTGGTTTGGAAGAGAGGATCGACGACAGGTTTGTACCTGTGACCACTTGGCCAGCTCTGCACTTGTGCCCCTCCACTTTCCACCTGAGTCCAGGAAACTCTGCCCCTCAGGAGACTTCACTTAACCTCGAAGGGTTGGGTGGCTGAGGAGGTGGAATCGGGCAGCCTGCAGCCCGTCCCTACATTCGTACTTTTCAGCTTAGATGGAAGGTGGAAGCAGCCGCATCCTCCCATCCCTCGGGGGCCGGGACTCGGAGTTGCGGGTCTCTACTGGGGCTCTCTCCCGGGGCTCTCTCCCGGTAGAGGCGGCGCCGTGGGGAACGGCCAGAGAACCCAGATAGCCTAAGTGGAGGGGCGGGCAGTACCGATGGGGGAACGCGCTGCCGTTCCTAATGAGACCAGCTTCCCATCACTTTTCCCAGTACTTTGCTCATCAACTGTCACACTCCCTGCAGATGAGACCGAGAAGGTGCGAGAAAGGCCCAAAAAGCGACCCCAGGAGAGCTCTCCTCTTGGGATGGGGGCCCATCAGACCCCGCCCTGCCCTGCCCACCTCTCCTAGCCCCCGGGAGGCAGCCCCCAGCGCCCGCGCCGCGGCTCCCATCAGAGCCCCGGGGTTCTGCTGCATCTGCTGGCGCCGAGCGGCGGGAGGCGTCTGCAATAAAGGCACAGATAAAAAGCAGGGGTAACAAATCCGAATGCATCTCTTACCATTGGACCGCCGGACAATATTCTCCAGAAACGTGTTTTGCGGGGCCACCAGTCCCTTCCTGCCACCGGCCATGGTCATCCTCCCGGCAGCTCGGGGTCTGGGGGCGTCCCGGCGCAGCTTCTCAGGACAGCAGCAAGCTGGGCGCGGGGCCCGCGAGCGATCCCGGCTCGAAGCGCCCCATGCGCCCCACGGGGACCCGGCCGGGCAGGGGCGGCGGCTCCCACCGGCTGCCGCCCTAGCGCCCTCTTCGCGCCTCCCTCCCCGCGGCCCGCCTCGCACTGCACTCGCGCGGGGCTCGCCTAGCTGCAGCCGCCTCCGGGTGGGCGGAGGGAGCCGCCGCGCCTGGGCCCGCAGCGCCCCCTACCGGGCGTGTGCCCCCCGACGGCCTGCTGGAGACCTAGCGGGGCGCTCCCGCAGCGGCTGGGAAGCCGAACGCGGCGGAGGGCCAAGGCTGGGCGGGCAGCGCCACCCTCTGGACACGGACCGGAAACGTGTTCAGAACGCGTCTTGGGCTGGATGGAGAGGAGGCTAGAGGAACAGCTGTCTTAGTGGGTTAATTCCCAACAATGTCGCACGGAGTCGAGGGGGAGCATGATGCTGTACCTCTCCTCGTTTGCTCCGTTTCAGGCAGGAGCCCTTGGAACCTCTGAGGCTCTTAGAACACCTTCCTGCTGGCCCCTAGGATATCTTAGCCTCAGTTGTGAAAGTTGCCCCACCTGGTTTCTGAAGCCAGTGTTTGACCACTAATTAATGAGGCACCGTAAGCGGTCAGACTTGCAGAGTGACTGGGTGAGCTCCAGAAGAGCTGTCTTGGTTTGTTTTTAAAGATAACCAAAGGCAAAAATGCAGGCTCCAGACGTTTGACAAGTTTGCTTGCTGACTGACTTGATTTCCACTCTTATCCAGAGAATATTTTACTAAAAGACCGAGAAGATACATGTATATATACAGAAAGTTTTTTTTGTTTTTTTTTTTTTAGCTGAAGCACAACCTGTTATGATCAGTGTGTGACGTTAGGACACAGGAACAGTGTGTCTGACAAACATATAAACAGGGGGGCTTCTCTCTGAGGGCAAATGCTGGGGGGCGGGCGGGCATGGGGGGACAGCTTCCCCGGACATTTGACATCAATTAAAAAGCGTAGCCTTGGTCCGGAGCCTGTGCTCCGCAACGGGAGAGGCCACAGCAGTGAGAGGCCCGCGTACCACGAAAAAAAAAAAAAAGCGCAGCCTTGGCTTGATGGATGGGCCACGCTGCTGAGGGTGATGTGCTGGTCTTCACATCTGCCTCCTGTTATAAGAATCACATCAACCCAAGGTTTCTGGGCAGGAGCTCAGACAAGTTTGTTCACCAGTTTTGGGAGATTTCTACCTGCACATAGGCTTTATCTGTCTTTTCATTATGTGTCCCCAGAGGGTGTGTGATCAGAGACTAAAGAAATGCCCCACAAAAAGAATGAGTTGATAGTATTCTAGTTAGTTCCAGGCTGGGGCAACCAACAGTCTACATAAGAATGTAAGAGGAAAAAAACTGCAACCTCAGTTGTCTGGGTTAACCATCCTGACGCATCCTAATGTATTGCAGATACCATCTCAAGTTTATTCATCTCCAAAACAGAGGAACTAATTCTTGCCCAGCAATCTCTCATAGCTGCTGTGAAGATCAAACGTAATTATGTAGGGGACAACACTCTAAAATGTGAAGTGCTACACCAAGGTCAGACGTCATCATTAGAGTGACTAAATAAATTGGGCCATTACAGACATCACCCTGTGTCTCATCTTGTGGAGACACAAAATAAACAAATGACGGCTGTTTGCAGAGTTAGGAAGGCTTGCGTGGGCTTTGAAATCAGTAATGATACACTTCTTCCATAAGATAACTTTCTACCCGGCACAGCTGTCACCACCTCAAAGCTGTGATTTCTTAAACCCTAGCTCCGTCTAGTGGTTCTTTGTTCTATTACAAATGAGATAACAGTGTCGATGAGACCTTTGAAATGTATTGATGCTGAGTTGGTTCAGTGGTGTCTGCCCACTTCATTTGAATACATTCATTTGAATAAGGTTCTTAAGGTTATGTTATCTACTGCACAAACATGCCCAAGGGAAGACTTTTCATGACGATATTAAAAACCTATCAAGCCACTTCATAATCCTGCTTGTGAAACGAAGATAAAGAAAAGAATGGAGGGGAGCTATCAGAGAGAATTAATAAAATTTCTCAGATTTTAATGAGCTCTCATGTTTCAGGGCTCGAGTATAAAGGAAACAGTTTATAGTCATTTGAGGTGAGAGATGTTAAAGCCTTGGTATGCTACCTGATAAGAAAAAGAAACAAGGAGATATCTTCCATTTTAATTTCAGATGTGCTCCTCCAGTGGCTCTCTGTGTGCTCTGTGTGTGTGTGTGTGTGTGTGTGTGTGTGTGTGTATTGGCACCATTCTGAATGCAATAATTTTTAGTGGCACACTCAAAGAGATTAAAAGACTTAAAAAAAAAAGACTTAACACTTAAAAAGTCAGCAATCTTTAACCACCATCACTATTCAGTGTAAGGATATTTCACAGCATTTACAAAAGCACATCCTCTGTTCCCCCATTCCCTTGGCTTACCCTCAACACTGTCTGACTGTGGAAATAAAGCTGTGTTCTGCCCTGTCCAGGTTCTCTTTGATATTTGTAGGCCTAGGTTGCACGTGTTCAGTAAACACAACATCTTTTTTTTTAACTTTTTATTTTAAATTGGAGTATAGCCGATTAACATTGTTGTGATAGTTACAGATGCATAGCAAAGCGACTCAGCCATATATATACATGTATCCATTTTCCCCCAGACTCCCCTCCCATCCAGGCTGCCACATAACATTGAGCAGAGTTCCCTGTGCTATACAGTAGCTCCTTGTTGGGTAAATATACCATCTTTGTTGGGGCTGGCTTGACAGTACCATATACTAGGCTTCTTACCTCTTACTTCCAACATTCTGGTCCCTACTCTGTATTCAATTCCAGGAGCTGCTTGGCTTAAAAGTTCTGTCTGAGATCTAGCACTATAATGTAGGAAACTCAGCTAGAACAAACTTTAATCTTACAAATTGGGCAAAATTGGTAACACCTTTGTAATAGATTCACAGTACACCACTGTGCCTTGGCAAAGAGCCTCTGTATTTTCACATAACAGGCAAAGCCACTTTTCATTCAAAGGGACAACTTTAAATACCTGGGGTCAGAGTTCCAACTAAACTGCCTCCGTCCCTCCCTGCAGAAATTGGGTTCTATCTGTCTAGAACTTCTACCAAGGGCAATACAGAGTATGAAATGAAAAATTCTAAAATTTTACACCAATGTCTGTAGCCAGTGTCTCAGTGGTCCTCCTCTCCTATACCCTCAGTATTGCGGTTACCCCTTGATTATAACACATGGTTATGTCTGTATCATACAATAGATGGCAAGCTCCCTGAAACACAGATGAACTTTATCAATCTTTGTTCTCATAAATATAATTAAGACATGGTGTAATTTGTGACTTCACAAAATGAGTTCATAATGATGAAGGTATAACGCTACAGAGAAAGCATGGAGATAGAGCTCTACAGACTGGCAGGGAAGAGTCCAGGAGAGGACAAAAAAATCTCCAAGCGCAACAACAAAATTTATCAAATGAAGAGGAAGGCAATGTTACACACCACAGGGGGAAGATGGCATCATACAAAGACAGGAATTACATTTTTTTTTCTTTTATTAAGACCATGAGATATAGGTGACATATTTCAGAAAGCCAAGAACCCCTCAGATATAGGAGAGCTGCCTATGAGTCCTGGAAGTCCTGGGAGCCAGAATGGGCAAGCAGCAGTGCTTCCTCATCAGAAAACTAGTAGCATTATTAGGAGAAACTGAACTTAGAGATGATTTCACCTACCCAGCCACCATGAGTGAAATATCTAAAAGGGGGGGGAATATGCAGTATGGGAAATTTCAGCATCTATAACCCAATGACTGACTTATTATTTATTATATGTAATTTCTGTTCACAAAATGTATTTTCTAATAGACATATAGGAAGTGTTGGGCAGGCCATATCCATTGGAAAGATCTATTCTGTATTATAGATTCCCCACCCTGTTCCCACCAAGTGCTGGGAAAAAGATGAGAATCTGCCTCAATAAGAATCATAGTTCATGAATGTAATTGACTGCAGGGAAACTATGCACTAATGTGTGTGTGACACTCAACTGCGGCTAACCTAATAGGCATTTTTAAATGTTTGTCAAACTGGGTTATATCCTTCTAAATGCCCAGAGCTATTATCCTTCTTTCTCATTTCCTCTTATCAAAAGAGAACAGGATCTTTTACCTCATCCTTCTCATGAAAAATAATGAAAAGCCATTTACAACAGTCTCATTTTATTATAAGAGACATCTGCTTGGAGTCTAGCGTACAACAGACACTGGACTAGGTTCTAAGGAAGAAAAGATGGGTATGAGTGGCACCTGCCCTCACAAAGCTCAGTAAACACTTAGTGAGCTCTTAGCTTCTTTATGATTTCTCTACTTTCAGCTACTTTCCTCTCTCAGTTGTGTCCTCCAAATCTTGCTGTCCTTGTCCACAAACTACATTTCAGCTTGATCTCTTCACCAAAGACTTTCCCGCTTTCTCTTCACTGAGACTTGGCTCTCCCCTAAGGCCTTCGAGTACCACAGACCCTACTCCTTTGGAAGATATTCATCTGCCATAGCCCATGTACCTAGAAGCCAGAAGTTGAGATGAGAATTCATCCAGTTGCTCACTACCATATCCAAACCACTATTCTACATTCATATAAAATTTCTCCTTTGAAGTTCATGATTAATAAAAATAACTCTATTCCTCTTCACTTCTTTAAATAGATTTAAGGAAAATTGTATTCCATTTTGAAAAGGTTGAGGTGCCTGAGAGACATTGCAGAGAAATATCAAGTAGGCAGTTGGATGCACAGGTGCAGAGCCCAAGAGAAACATCTGGATGGAGCCAGAGATTGAAAATCACCAGGTTATAGCCTTCAAAAGAGAGTGAAAAGGAACAATCTGGAAGTGGGGAGAATTGGGAGAAGCCATTTCATAGAAGGTCAGAGGGCGACGATCTTTAAATGGGAAGCTTAAAGAACACAATCATATGCTGTGTGCTATAACAACTGGAAAATGTCCACCAAATAGAATGGTTAGTTGGCCATTTGAGACCTTAGTAGAAACATTTTCAATGGAATAGTGGGGACAAAGCCACATTACAATG